TCTCGACCGCCTTGTAACACGGAATAGAGGCGGGCAACCTCGGATTGATAGACTGCGAGCTCCAACTTCAATTCCTGCAGATGGGAAACGCGAGCATCCCGCTTCCAAGTCGAGATCTGTGCTCTCGCCTCGCGCAAATTCTTCTCCAAATCGTTGTTTTCATTCACGAGACGCGCCACCAGCAAATCATTGATGGAGTTCTCCTGTTCGGCAACAGAGCTCCCGGGCTTAGCGGCATCCCTTGCCAGCTGCGCACGCACCGCGCGAAGGGATACTTCAAGCTTTTTTATCTGCTCGCACTTTTCCCGCAGCTCCGCCTTGCAATCATTCCTCTCGCGTACAAGAAGGAGGACCCTGTCATCATTGGACAAACACTCCCGTGCATCCATGAAACGATCACGGAACCTCTTGCTATGTGACTCCCTGTATGGCGCACCAACCTCCCGAACTTTCTTCGACGGTGACACGGACAGTTTGCATTGAGTTTTAAATGTCATGCCCCTGAGGCCAGGCCGGCGACGCGGAATGAAGCAGTCGTCCGTGGGCAGTGTGTTTGGCTGGAACGGATCGACTGCGTCTGTTGCACGCTTTGCTTTTGAAGACAAAAAGGTTCGGGAGCTCAAGAAAGGCGTCCGTGGCACAAAAGACGCGGCATCAATCACTTCACCTTCTTGTGAAACTGTCGTTGCGGGGATTCGCACCGTGCGAGGCTCGAGAACATCGGCAGACGCCTCCAATTCCTCCGCCTCAAGCGACTTTTTCCCCAACACGCAACCGTCCGCCACATCCATCAACGGTCACCTCGTTTTTTTTTTTTTTTGTGTGTGTGTGTTTCGTGTGCGCACGTGTACAAAGAAAAGAAAAGAGAAACAGCAAGGGGGATTTCATTCGGTTGCCTCGTGCGTGCCAAAAAAAAAAAGAGTGTGGATTGAGGGGAAAAGAAAGGAGCGGAATAGCCCCCCCCAAGCAGCTGAGCATCTCCTTGTGCCCAAGGGGTTTGCATGACGGTTCCAAAACGAAAAACACAAAAATCACCTCCAAACGATCACGGGAAATGCAATAAACCCCCTTTTTCCTTTTTATGATTTTTACTTTCCCCCCGGCGCGGCAATGACGGAGAAGCACAAGACTACCCGTGTTCCTTTTCTTATCGTGTACATTCCTCTTTTATTCACCGCTCCATAAAAAAAAAAAGACCTCATTCGCTGACGAGGGGTATTCCGCTGCAGCTGATCCACGCCACGCCACATGTAAACCCTCCCCGGTCTTTGCTGAGCAAGACTGCACATGCCAATTGCTAGCCTGAACATCATTCGGCTGCAAAGCCAATGTGAATTCATCGGCCATCGCAAAACCTAAAACGTCGCCTTTATTTGTCTGAAGAAAAATCCTAAAGGAGCCATTGTAAAGCAGGGCAAAGAGGACGCGGAAGTGTTAGGGCTCCTTCTCCGCCCGGAAAACACACAAAAAAAGCACGCCGGCTCCCTAGCGCGCGAAGAGGTGGCGGAATTTGCCACGACCTGAGAGTGTAAGTGCGTAGAAAACAAAAGTAAAAGCTAGGAAAGCCTGTGGAAGGATGATGGGCATCGAGAAAAAAAAAAATAGGGAAAACATCGGTCAGAGTCACAAAATGTTATCATTCACTTGAAATTATCCACACACCTCGTCTGTGCATAACAACAATCAAATATATGTATATATATAATGATAATAATGAAATAAAATAAAAGGACAGAGAGAGAAAAAAAGGATCATCGAATATCCATTACTCTTGGATGACCTCAAATGTCCCATCATCAGGAATGCCGTCTTCCACCTCTGGTGATCCCTCAACACGACCCATCGGATGGTGTTGTCCTTTATTTCGTTTAGCATCTTTCTTCTTGCGACGGAAGTGGCCCTTTCTATTTTCATGGCGCATATGTGGTGTATCCTCTTCGTTGATGGATGTCCCTAGTGCCTTCTGCATCTCCTGGAGAAGTGTCTTAACATCCGCATGAATAGAGAGTGTGTCCGGTGGTATTGAAACTTCATTCACGGGCTCTACTGTAATACCCAACGGTGCCCGCGGTACTGCGTTTGAGTTCATAAGGATGCTATCACCTTCATCGTCGCTCTTGTCAGTAGAAACCGAGGCAACGTGATGGGAAGAACCCTCCCCGGAAAGACCACTGCCAAAGAAGTTGACGTCCAAGCCCTGGTCGTCCCCAACGTTAAGAACATCGTCAGGAAAGTCACGAAAATCATCAGCTAGCAAATGCACCTGCGGCATACTTCCGTCAACCAAAGGACTAGGGACGCTGTTAGCCGCCACAAGAGGTTTCGTGGTCGAAGGAGTCAAATGAGACATCGGGGGCGCAAATTTTGTTTTTGGATCGGAAGGTGGTGGTGATGTGAGTGATGCTTTTGGTCTCACTGCCTCACCCGGATACGCCTTCCTCTTTCCGGGGCCGCCGCTAGATCCACTGCTGCTCCTCTTTGCTCTTGCATCAGATCCCTCCTCCTCCTCCTCATGGATGTCGTTAAAAAAGTCCTTTGCAATGCCGTTTTCATCTTCCTCCACGTGATGATAAGCCCGAATGCCACTCACAACACTCAACGGAGGAGGGCCTCGAACCTCGCCTCCCTGCAGAGCATCACCCCCAGGCAATGGGCGGGAGGCCGTTTCTGGCGTTTCCTTTCCTTTCCCCTGTGCCCCGTGTTGTTTTTCCTTCTCCAGCAAGTGTAGCCTGGCTCTTTCGCTAAGCAGCCACGCCCGATGTTCCTCAACAAACTGAAAATACGCGTGAATGCGAACCTCAAACGTCAATACCTTGAGAAGCGAATATGGAATCTCAAAGGCACTGCGGAGCAACTCCACACCATGACCCGTTGCGGCGCTAATACTCACCCATGTCGCCGAAATAGAGTACTCCTCTGGTGGCAAGCGACCTGCAGACGCGGCCAATATCATGGGTGTTGTGGCCCGTCTAATACTCTTGCAAGCAGCATCAACGTCACCATCTGAAACAACATGCGCATCTCTGGGCGCATCATAAAAGTTGAGAATAAAAAGAACACATGTATCCGGTGGAACATGACGCGCCTCACGCACGGCATAGTCCAGAGTCTCCTTCCGAGTTCGATCAATGACAAAAGCTGCAAGGTGGCACCCCCTGTAGACATCAATCGAACGTGCGTCCGCCAGGGTTGGGTGTGTTGTTATAGACGCCGATTGAGACGTGCTGATTCCCTCATCAACAACATCCCATAATTCCACCTTGGCACCGCCACCACCACAATCTCCCGTCCTCTCTGCAGTGCCACGATAAAAAAGAGTGTCCGCGGTGATTTCTGAAGACGGTACGTAACTGGTAGGCGGCGAGCAACCACAGAGACGTGAGACGATAGTGGACTTCCCCGTGCGCCGCATCCCACGCACAACGGCCTTCATGTTCAAATGCGGTCCCTCCTGTATATCACGCTGCACATCGGAGTTCACAGGCCAGATGTTCGGTCCACCACAGGTGGAGTCTCTTTGTAACCCTCCATGGGTAAAACCGTTTCTCCCGCTGCGTGCTGGAGATGAGTTATTCCCCTTTTGAAAAACGGCCCTCACCTTAGTGAAGAAAGACATGTTATGCTCAATTAACAGACCTCGTCAGTTTCTTATGTGGCAAAAACAATGACAGTGAAAAAATCATACAGAAAAAAAATACATCAACGTGCATATTCAATATCCTGGGGCGACGCTCACCCCCCATCTCGCTGTACGTGGCTGAAAAACACAACATGGAAGGACGCACAGACACCTTGCCCCATACAGAAAGCAATCCGTTGCCGGAAATCTTCTGTGCCAATACACCACCAATTAAGAAAAAAAAACATCACAGTAGTGTACACAGCTTTTTCCTTCTCTTCTCACTTTTTTTTGGCTCCCTCAAATCCACACGCATCACCGACTGGGTTCCCTGTCTCTTAGCGTTAGCGGCATGAATTTCGTTGCTATTGAGGTTTGAAGACGTTTTCCCTGAGGCACTCGAATTCCGTGCCGGCTCTTCGTTTAAACACATACTAGCCGTGTATTCAAAGAGCTGCGTCACGTTAAAGTCATCCTTCGTGGACACGCGAAAAAATGGCAACTGAAGTTGTATCGCAAGTTGCTCAGCCTCCTCATTCGTGACGGCCGCCTCGTGTGCAAGGTCAAACTTCGTCTGGCAAAGAACCATTAAAATGGATCCGCACACATTCTCAACGTTTTTCTTCCAGTTCTCAACATTCATAAAGCTATCCTTGTCGACGGTACTAAATGCCACTATCGCCGCGCCAGCCCCACGATAATACGCCTGTGTGAGGGAATTGAACACCTCCTGCCCGGCCGTGTCCCAGAGCATGAGCTTCACTGTCGTGTTGGATTGGCGTAAAAATACATTTTTCTCCATGAACTCGGCACCAATAGTCTTCTTGTATTGGTTCACGAACTCTCCCTTTACAAATCGCCGCAGCATTGATGTCTTGCCCACATTGCCGTCCCCCACTACAATCACCTTGATGCTGTTTTCCACACACTCTAGCATGACCTTCTCCCTACTGGCACGGCACCGTTGGCCAGCCCCCGTCACCCCACCCCTTCCGCGCCGTCGTTCAAAAGGTGAGCCCCAACAAGACCCCGAACAGGGCGGGCACCAAACAATCTCACAGAGGTAAAAAGAAAAAAGAAAAAAATAATACACCCATATGCATTGCCCCTTTCCCCTCCCCCCGGCACAATAAAATAAGGGCGGAAAAAAAAGCGGACAGCAGAAAACCTCGCATCCGCAAATCAATAAATGTCATCAAATAGATTCTGGAATACAAACAATATTAGCCTCAATGTGGAAAAGTGGTTAAAAGTCAGCATTTCCACTGAAATTTGTATCTCACAAAGCCAAACCACCAATAATAATTTGGTCCAATATTTTTTTTTTAAAGAGTAAAAGAGACTGCACCATCAGTAAGTAAATACGAGTCTGTTTTCACAGCTAAAACTGGCATTTCTCCACTAAACTTCTCGTTGCATCGTTCAGAGACGCAGGCATGTCAACAGCAATTGTGACATACATATCACCATTTCTTCCTGTCTTCCTATCAGGGAGTCCTTTACCGCTCACTCTCAACTGACGGCCATTTTTGCTCACCCCAGTCAATGGCAATGCTGTAGTGGTTCCATCGAGACCCAAGACATTCACTGTTGTCCCCAATAGTGCCTGTTTCAAGTTGATATGGACCGTCGTGCGGATATCTGCACCACTGCGCTCAAAACGAGGATGAGGCTTCTCATCAAGAACAAACACCAAATCTGCCAAGACGTTCGGTGGATATCCCTGCACAATGCCTCCCTCTTGCACAAAGCGGATCTTCGTGCCCTTTTTGTACCCAGGAAGCACCTTCACCTCAAACATCTTTTTTTCTGTACCCCCCGGCATATGACGTGAGACATTAAACTTTTTCGTGCACCCCGTATAGATTTCCTCCAAGGTACATGCAAAGGTGTACTCAACAGGAGGCACCTCATTCATAGGCGACATCTCCGGCGATCCAAAGCCCGAAGTAAACCCTTGTGGACCGCCAAACCCTCGAAACACTCGGTGAAGACCAGGACCACCACCACCGAATTCCTCCCCACCTGCGAAAGGATCGCTGCTGCCAAAGAACGACCGAAAAATATTAAACGCATCGCCTTGTGAAAAAGTGTACCTCACGCCACCGGGAAAAGCACCATGAAAACCTGTGCCTCCAGCACTGCCACCTTCCCCAGCCCCGGGAACGCCGCCCTTCAGTCCCTCCTCTCCGTATACATCGTAAATTTTCTTCTTATTTTCGTCACTCAAAACATCATAAGCCTCCGAAACCTCCTTGAAACGCCGCTCCGACTCCTCCCGATTACCGGTACATTTATCGGGATGATACTTCAAAGCCAGCTGATGATAGGCCTTCTTAATATCACTCGGCGTAGCGTTACGACCAACACCAAGAACCTTGTAATAATCAATTCCCATGTTTTCAACAACACGCCAATCTACCCATATAGCAAATAAAAACATGGAAAGACAAAAAAAAAGCCCGGAATATGTAAGTGCATATCAGCTACATCCCAACGACGCACACACCCACTCTTTTATTTTATTCTTTAATCTGACTGCCACGTGCAGACTCCCACCCTCAGCTGGCATAAGCAAAAACTTCGCGTTCTCCCTCAATAATAATAATAATAATAATAATAATAAATTTTTATTGTTTGTGTTTTCTGTAAAAGATTCGGTGGCCCGCACGCTGTACCGTGCCCCAGCACGACGCCGCTGGCCCGGGTGCTGATTGATTCCGTCAGCGCTGCCCCAACAACAAACCTGCCGTGAGGGAAACGTAGCTTTTTCTCAGCTTTCCTCCGACAATACGGGGCAATTGACCGTCGCAGCACGAGGAGGCAGTTAACCACACAATCACCGGGGTGCTCATGTCCTTTTGGTCGGCCTTACAAGAGGCCATCGCAAAAATTACTTCCTCTTCTCGCTCCACAATGGATGGATCCCTGCTGACCTTACCACTCGTCCTCACCAAAAGCTTCCATTTATTCTCCGACTTCAGACGCATGGAGAATACAACGCTCTTCCCCTCTTCCTGCCCACGGCACTCATGGGAAACACGGGAGTGCCGTCCTTCGTCTCGACACTCGGTCCTCCGCCACCAATCAACCTATTCAAGAAGTGTCAATCTCCTCTGACCTCAGGGTTCAGTTCATGGGCCTCATTCCATTGGATTTTATTGCCAGAGGCCTTCAGCCATTATTACCGGCCACTTGAGTGCCAGACTTTTTATGGCTGTAACTTCCCAGAAGCAGTTGGATGCTGCCGCCAATTACAATTCTTGTTGGCCGCATCATTCCCGTCGCCTCGAAGCCATCCGCAGCAACACCCCTGAGCAATTGCGTATAACAAGTTTACATCCACTGTCGGGATCTCCGTTGGCTCAGCAATTTCCCTCGGGCTCCTTCACGCAATCCCCGTACGGCTGCCGGTCCCGCAGTCTTCCCTGCACCGCGCCTCAGCAGTGGCAAATGCACCGCCGTTCGCTTCAACAGGGCCGGAAACACGAAGCAGGCCGGCTCCTCCAGCAGCCTCTTTCGGTTTCCCTCATTTGACGGGAGATATCCGTGTCGTCCCTGCGAATAGATCAACGGGATTCATTGAAGTAATTCTCTCAGATCGCGCGGCACCACGCAAGGACCTCACCAACACGAGGGGGAGCAGCACCGCGGAATTGAACACACGCCAAAGCATGCTGGGTTCACCCTCTCTTCCTTCCATCCTCCTTCCGCTGGATCCGGCCACGCGACGACGGCCGTGCGTGCGCGTGTGTGTGCTGTTGGTCCTTCCGGAGTCATTGGAGTGCGCAGTAGCAATTCGCACGCGGTCCCAATTTCCTTCTTCGTGTGCATCTCCAAGAAGTAAAGAGAGAAGAGCAGACATGCCAAGAGAAAACAGGGTAATGCGGAAGGCGTCAGGGAAGAGAATCGAGCACTGCCACCATCCACAGTGAGTCACATCGTCGGCCTTGCAGCCAGTATCCCCCACAACCGTTCAAGCCTCCAGCCACGCACACACACGCAGACAACGGCGTCAGCCGCCACGGATAGTGTGCAGGCGTGCTTATGTGCAAACACAATGTGTGCAGTCACTCCGCATTGTTGTCCGGGAACCCACACACCGTATGCCGCTGGTGTGATTCTGTACCGCACCAGTCAGAAGCCTCGACCTGACACATCAAATACGCCGCGGCTCCAAGAAACACGCATCTGCCCCTCAAGGTGGACCCATACTCTCCAGCTGTAAGGTGTTACCTGCCCAAAGCCCCAATATCCAAGTAAGGGCTTGTAGCAGGGCAGTCAATGCATGGCGTACGCCCAGTGCCACCGCCCTCGTCACGAGTTTCATTGGAGCCCCACACCCATCCATGCAGCAGCCTCCGCCCCGCCAGGAAATGGAATCCAAACAGCACCCCAGCACCCGTGCAGAAAGAAAGGCATCCGCCTGGGGCCAAGCAAAAAAAACGCCATAAACCCTTTGCACATTTGTGAGCAGCCCGTGAGAGTAAAGCGCTGCCCAGGCAAGACACTCATGGCAGGAGACTTGCCGGGAAGCTTCTCTCCGCCAGGTCCCCATTCAAAGCACACGACGCAACGGCATAGAGAATAGAAATGGCACCACTTGTGCAAGCACAAGCCCGCCAAAGAAACGTGCAAGAAAGAGACAAACTGCCGGGTGACAAGCACCTCCTCCCAATAGCTGCCGTCCACGCAGCCAAGACGTCAGGGGGAATCCTTCGGGTGATTGCGACGCCGACCCCAATAATCATGAAAGCGGCTCTCACATGTCGACCAGTCAGCCATCCCTCACGGTGCGTCCACGCACAAAACACCCTACACACACACACACACGTGGTCGCATTGGAGACGCAGCAACCCCCCAGCCTGTCTTCACCCGCACCCGGAGCATCTCCCACACGTGCCGCGCAGGTGTCTTGTCCAGGCGCCCCCTCCCCCCGCAGAGGCATTTTTTACCCGACGCCGTCAACCGGGTTCCGGCCTCAGAGAGGGCAGAGCCTCCGCCCCCGCTCTCAGCTGCGCCCATGCGGTTGAACAGTCGGCCAGCCCGCCTGAGGTCCAAGCAAAAAAGCTTGTGTGAAGTGCTGCTTTCCAGTGCATGCCGCGGCAACCGCCGCCCACCTCTATTTGAATGCCCGCCACCCTTTTTCACCAGCGGCTTCGGTCCCAACTCAGCAGCCGCCTCCCGCACCGCAGGCTGGGAAACGTCATGGGCAGAAAATGCCACTCACTCACCCCGCCCTGCAGCCGAGTGATGGTGGGTGCAACCTCCCAACGTGGGGGCAGCTTAGTGGCTCGGGCGCCGTAAAAGCCGCGTCGTCTCCATTGCGAATTTCCCACCGTGCCCGGTAGAAGGAGCACCGGGTAAGAAGGCGCAGTGCACACCAGACGAGTTATAGGAGTGTGTCCTCCCAAGACGGCGCTGTAGAGGCACGAGACGGTACAGATGCGGGCGAACGGGACACGTCGTGTCATGGCATTGCCCGCTCCTGTGGCATCGACAGTGCATACGCCCTTCAGCACCTTGTTTGACACAACCCTACGAAACTCCAACTTTGATGAAGGTAGGAAAGGCCTCATTGCCAATGTACAGGAATATATGTTCTGCCAAACGCAGCCCAATGCCAATCCACTGGGAGGCCGCGGAGGGCGCCAAAGCCATGCTTCCCAAAGACGCAAGCAAAAAGACTATGAAGGCTCCCGTTCCCCCTACCAAGCACTTGACGGACAGCTAAGAGAGAGAATGAAAAAGAAAAATATGTTCAATTCGCCTAATCGTGCAAGGCGTTCAAATCGGCCGTGTTCCCTCCACAATCCTGCGCAAATAGATTCACGAAAAAAAGCAGTACGAACGACAAGGTGACTCACCAAAGCATTTGTTGGGGCAGCTTTAAAAAAAATATAATAAAAAAAAAAAGCGCCGACAACAAAAATTTACATGAAACCCTTTTACATCTCCACTAAGAATTACATCCAATACATTTGAGCGGGTCGCGTGTGCGGAGCCAATGGGAGTCTACTACCACCTGCAGCGGTAAAAAAAGACATAAAGCAGAGTAAACGGCAACACACATTCCCCAAGTTACCTGAAGCGACGAGCACGGACAGTAATAATCGAATCATCCATCGAAGAACGCGGCTCGTCGGCCGTAAAAGGATGCACCTCGACAGAATCACTTTGCGACGCCGCCTCCCTGAAGCGCCTAGCATGAGCCTGCTCCCCACCCCTCCTCCCCCACGTACCAGAGGCGGGATCATGCGCACCAGGAGCGGTTGCACTCAGCGTGAACGACATATTTTGGTCCATACCCAACTGGCCCTTCCGCTCCATCACGCTGCTCATTTTTACGGCCAGTCGATCTATCACCAGACGGCAGTACTCCTCATCCTGCAAAAAGCTCGGCCTCCGCGGCAACCGAACGTTCCAACGCTCGCAAAGAGGCATCAGCGCCTTCAGCCGCTGCCGGGGTGCCAAGGTTCCGTATGTCACCGTCAAAACAGACACGACGGCTTGAGCGGTGCCGGTCCGTGCGCTGTACATAGAAACATCTTCACTACTTTCGAAATCACTGCCATCGTCAAGATCAGGCATCTCACGATCAAGACGCAGCGCGGCGAAGGTGCGCCCGGGAACGGCGTCCAGCTGGTACATCTCCACCGGAACCGGCACACCGCGCAGCGCCACGCCGCCAAGCGCAGTCACCTCCACTTGCTCACGCTCAGCCGTGCTCAGCGACATGTACGCCGCACGCGTCAGCAGCACCTGCCCGCCGTTCCCAACGCTCTCCGTGCGCGCGGCCATGTTCGACGTCCCGCCGTAGTAGTCGTACCCCTTCGTCACCTCGTCGCGCCGGATGTCACACAGCCCGGTGTGCACACCGACTCGCACGCGCAGGCCGTTCCAGTACTGCCGGTACACAGCATCGTCCAGGCGCGCGGTCGGTGGAACGTACTCCTCGTCATTCTCGGCACGGTCCTCCTCAAACTTGTGGTACGCGTCGTCGATCACGCTCGTCCCCCAGTCCTGCTGCAGAAACATCTGCTGCAGCTCCCGCACAAGCTGCACGGCGGCGAACACACTCTTGCACGCAATCATGAACGAGTCTCCGATCGTCTTTACCTCGTAGCAGTGGTACTTCGCTATCAGTGAGCGGATCAAGCGGTGGTGCGTTGCCACGGCGTCGGGCATCGCCTCGGGGCACGCAGCCCACAGCGCAGTGCTGCTCTCGATGTCAGTAAACACAAGCGTCACGGGGTCTGTCCGCTCCTTCGGTGCATTCTCGTTGTCACGCGAGTCGCGGCAGAAGTGCAGCAGCAACAGAATCAAGGCAATAAGCAGCAGGGCAGCAGCAACGCTGCCGACGATGACGCCGATCAGCTGCCGCGCCGTCAGTCCACTCGCAACGGGCATCCGGTACTCCATCGACGGCGTCACGGCAGGGG